TTGGGAAGGTTTGTTTAAATTCCTTTTGGGGACACTTATCCTCTGAACACGCTTGACGTGGCCGACGTAAACCGATCCCGCACTTTCGCAGGGAGGAAAAAACGTCGTGGCTGGGGATCGCGGCCCGTTCCAACGCCTAATGCGGTCGCTATCCTTGGGGTTTTTCGTGGGTTGTGTGAATGCAACATTTATACAAGTTGGCTTCTTAATGCCTCCAGCTGTTGGGACCGTGCCCGGTCCTCGGTCCAGCTGGAAACAGTGGTTCAAAGCTCCTTTCCACGCAGAGAGAGCATAGACGTTTGATGGGGTTGCGGTTTTCGCCTTGGTAATTCCTTCATTGGGGTATTGTTTTCTGCTTGACTGTTCGACTGGTGTTAATCCGCGCTTATCTGGCTGTTGGTTAATTAATGCTTTAGATACTCTCTATTTATATATTGAATGGTGGGCAGGGCAAGCCGCTGTATATAATCTACTTGGGTAGTGAAACATCTGCAAGGAAACCACCAAGCTCAGAGGGCAGCCCCAGAGTCCTCCTCCTCCTCCTCCTCCTCCTCCTCCTCCTCCTCCTCCTCCTCCTCCCTTCTAGCACTGGTGATGTTACCTAGCTGGGTCATGAAACGTCTGCAAGAAAACCACCAAGCTCAGAGAGCACCAAGGNTCCTCCTCCTCCTCCTCCTCCTCCTCCTCCTCCTCCTCCTCTCTGCAAATCCCCCTCCCTTCCAGCCCTGATGATGTTCCCTAGTTGGGTCGTGAAACGCCTGCAAGAAGACCACCCAGCTCAGAGAGCACCAAGGACCCCCACCAGGCAAAGCATGACACGGCCAGTACATTAAATCAAAACCAGCCGGCCAAGCAGAGGTCCACAAGACCTGACAATGTCAAAAACCCTGAAGGACACCCTGCTATTTCCTCGCTTTGTTAAACCACCCATTTCGCATCATTTCTGCCATGACACCATGATGCGCACGACATCCCTCCAGACAGCCGAGGCAGGGAGCCGAATTGGGGAGGCGTGACGAATTGCTCGCATCTCCGGCAACAAGATGGACGCGCCCCGTTGGACTCTGGCTGCCCACACGTCCTGCCATCTAAGGACAATTTTCAGGTGGCCTGGATGAACCTCCAGGAGGAAAAAAAACCCGGTGTTTTATAAAATATCTTGAACCCCAAAGGAAGCAAGCGCGCCAATCAATCAGAATAGAGCTGGAAGGGACCTCGGAGGTCTTCTAGTCCAACCCCCTGCTCAAGCAGGAGACCCTACCAGGGGTAGGCAACCTTGGCTCTTTTATGACTCGTGGACTTCAACCCCCAGAATTCCTGAGCTAGCTATGCTGAGGGGAAAGGGAGAGGTTTCCAAGCTGAGCCATGCTGGCTCAGGAATTCTGGGAGTTGAAGTCCACAAGTCATGAGGGGGCCATAGTTCCCCCATGCTGGCTCAGGAATTCTGGGAGTTGAAGTCCAGGAGTCACAAAAGAGCCAAGGTTGCCTACCCCTGCCCTAGACCATTTCAGACAAGAGGCTGTCTAGTCTCTTCTTAAAAACCACCAGTGATGGAGTGTCCACAACTTCTGGTGGCAAGCTGTTCCACTGGTTAATTGTCCTCCCTGTTAGGAAGTTTCTCCTTAATTCCAGGTTGCTTTTCTCCTTGATTAGTTTCCCTCTGTTGCTTCTTGTCCTGCCTTCAGGCGCTTTGGAGAATGTGGACCCCCTTTTCTTTGGGGCAGCCCCTCAAATATTGAAAGATTGCTATCAGGTTCACCCCTCGTCGTTAGATAGAATGGAATAGAGCTGGAAGGGACCTTGGAGGTCTTCTAGTCCAGCCCCCTGCTCAAGCAGGAGAACCTATACCATGTCAGACTAGTGACTGTCCAGCCTCTTCTTAAAAACCTCCAGTGATGGAGTGTCCACAACTTCTGGTGGCAAGCTGTTCCACTGGTTAATTGTCCTCCCTGTTAGGAAGTTTCTCCTTAATTCCTGGTTGCTTCTCTTTCTGATTAGTTTCCAACCATTGTTTCTCTTCCTTCCCTCTGGTGCTTTGGAGAATAACGTGACCCCCTCTTCTTTGTGGCAGCCCCCCAAATACTGGAATGCTGCTATCATGTCTCCCCTATTTCTTTTTTTCTTTAGACTGGCCAAACCCAAGTCCCGCAACCGTTCTTCATACGTTTTATGTCTCCAAGCCTTGGATTGTCTTAGTTGCTCTTCTCTGCACTTTTTTTCCCCCCAAAGTCTTTGCTGCTTGTGAATTTTTTTGCACCCTCGCCACTGTCCTCTTTCCTCTTCCCTCCTCAGGCAGCTGACCTCTAAGTGTCCCCTTCTCTCCCCCCCCCCTCCCCTCCACCCTTCCTGCCCTGGACCGGCCAGCCCCTGTGAGATGGATTGGAGCAGTTGTCCGGTTGAGTCACAATAATAAGTGACTCACTTTGGGAACAATTAAAACGAAGGGAGGAGGCTGAAGGGGGGGGGGCAACATTTTTTCCACAGCTCAAATTTCCCTGAGGGGGGCGGCAGGCTCAAGGTCAGGGCGCCCAGAGGAGAACTCTGCCACCATAGATCTAGGGTAGGGGCTGCATTGATCCTCCCGACAATCTCCCAGCCCTCGTGGCCTCCCTACTTTCTGTTCTCCTTGATCCTTCCTCCTCCTCCTCCTCCTCCTCCTCCTCCCCTCAGCAAACCCCAGATTCCCTTCTAGCACTGATGATGTTCCCTAGTTGGGTCATGAGACGTCTGCAAGAAAACATCTCAGCTCAGAGAGCACCAGGGACCCCACAATCTTCCTCCTCCTCCTCCTCCTCCTCCTCCTCCTCCTCCTCCTCCTCCCCTCAGCAAACCCCCTTCCTTCTAGTACTGATGATGTTCCCTAGTTGGGTCATGAGACGTCTGCGAGAAAACAGCTCAGAAAGCACCAGGGACCCTCCCTTCCTCTTCTCCATCACTTCTCTTCCTCCTTCTCCTTTTCTTTCTTCTTCTCCTTCCCCTCCTCCTCCTCCTTCATTTCTCTTCCTCCCCTCCTCCCTCCTTCCCTCCCTCTTCCCTCCCTCTTCTCTCCCTCTTCCCTTCCCTTTCCTTTCCTTCCCTTTCCTTCCCTTTTGTTTCCTTCCCTTCCCTTTCTTTTCCTTTCCTTTCCTTCCCTTCCCTTCCCTTTCTTTTCCTTCCCTTCCCTTTCTTTTCCTTTCCTTTCCTTTCCTTTCCTTCCCTTCCCTTCCCTTCCCTTTCTTTTCCTTCCCTTTCCTTTCTTTTCCTTTCTTTTCCTTTCTTTTCCTTTCCTTTCCTTTCCTTTCTTTTCTTTTCCTTTCCTTTCCTTCCCTTTCCTTTCCTTCCCTTTCCTTTCCTTTCCTTTCATTTCCTTCCTTTCCTTTCCTTTCCTTCCCTTTCCCTTCCCTTCCCTTCCCTTTCCTTCCCTTTCTCTTTTTATCTTCCTTTCTTTTTCTTGCCTTCCATTTCTTTCTCTATTTATCTCCCTTCCCTTCCTTTTCCTCTGCTCCTTCTCCTTCCCTTCCTCGTCTTCCTCTTCCTCCCACCCCCGGAGACCAGGGGCAACTGAAGCCCCCGTGAGGCTGGGGGACGGCAGCCCCTCAACAGAAGAGGGACAAAACGAAAGGCCACGGGGGGGGGAGAAGAAGGGGCCCTCTCAAAGTCACCCAGCCTTTCCGAAGAAAAGTCCCCCCTTCGGAGGGGAGCCCGCGCTCCGATGCCCAGGAGGGGATCAGGATGTTCTTGTCCCGCCAGGCGCACCTGGGAGTTGGAGCGCAGGAAGTGCAGTTTGCAAGAGCGTGACGGGGCTGCCAAAATTGTCCCCGATGATTTCGGGCTGCGTTAACGGAGCCGTAACGTTCAGATGACGAGGAGTAATCGCTCCAATTTCTTTGTCCTTGGTGGAAAGGACGAGTTGTGTAACAACGCACCTTGTCTGGACCACAAAGTCAGGAGGCTCCCAGTAGACCCCCCGGTGGGAGACCCTCTCGGCTTCTTTCTTTACTTTATTGATTGGGATCCTGCCGTTATTCGGACAAGTAACTCGAGCGACAAACGTATCCAACACACCTTCCTGCTCCTCTTTTCCCCACAATGACAACCCTGTGAGGTGGGCCGGGCTGAGAGAGAGGGACTAGCACAAGGTCACTTAGTTGGCTTTCATGCCTAACGCAGGACTAGAACTCACCGTCTCCTGGTGATCGGCCCAAAGTCACCCAGCCGGCTTTCACGCCTAAGGCGGGACTAGAACTCACCGTCTCCTGGTGATTGGCCCACAGTTACCCAGCCAGCTTTCACGCCTAAGGTGGGACTAGAACTCACCGTCTCCCGGTGATTGGCCCAAAGTCACCCAGCCAGCTTTCACGCCTAAGGCGGGACTAGAACTCACCGTCTCCCGGTGATTGGCTCACAGTTACCCAGCCAGCTTTCACGCCTAAGGCGGGACTAGAACTCACCGTCTCCCGGTGATTGGCTCACAGTTACCCAGCCAGCTTTCACGCCTAAGGCGGGACTAGAACTCACCGTCTCCCGGTGATTGGCCCACAGTTACCCAGCCAGCTTTCACGCCTAAGGCGGGACTAGAACTCACCGTCTCCCGGTGATTGGCCCACAGTTACCCAGCCAGCTTTCACGCCTAAGGCGGGACTAGAACTCACCGTCTCCTGGTGATCGGCCCAAAGTCACCCAGCCAGCTTTCACGCCTAAGGCGGGACTAGAACTCACCGTCTCCCGGTGATTGGCCCACAGTTACCCAGCCAGCTTTCACGCCTAAGGCGGGACTAGAACTCACCGTCTCCCGGGGATTGGCCTAAAGTCACCCCAGTTGGCCTAAGGCAGGACTAGAACTCTCCATCTCCTGGTTTCTAGCCTGATGCCTTGACCACTAGGCCCAACTAAATCTGGGCGAGCCACCAAGTTCGTGCCGATCTTTTCTGGGTGCAGGGACCAGAATCTTCCTTTGGAAAGCGGCATATAAATTAAATAAATAAATTAAAAAATACCCTGTTCTCCATGTATGTTTGCAGATGGGCCGCGTGGACAAGAACGTTCCCCTGGTGACTGGACACACGGCCCCCGTGCTGGACATCGACTGGTGCCCCCACAACGACAACGTCATTGCCAGCGCATCCGAAGACACAACCATCATGGTAAGTGACGGTGCCAGGGATGTCACAATGCTTCAGACCTTTCGCATGGAGGGAGGAATAATAATAATAATAATAATAATAATAATAATAATAATAATAATAATAATGATGATGATGATGATGATGATGATGATGATGATGATGATGATGATGATGATGGAAGGGACCTTGGAGGTCATCTAGTCCAACCCCCTGCTCAGGCAGAAGACCCCATACCATGTCAGACAAATGGCTGTCCAGTCTCTTCTTAAAAACTTCCAGTGTTGGAGCATTCACAGCTTCTGGAGGCAAGGAGTTCCACTGATGAATTAACAGAATGACAGAGTTGGAAGGGACCTTGGAGGTCATCTAGTCCAACCCCCTGCTCAGCCAGGAAACCCTAGACCATTTCAGACAAACGGCTGTCCAGTCTCTTCTTAAAAACCTCTAGTGTTGGAGCATTCACAGCTTCTGGAGGCAAGGAGTTCCACTGCTGAATTAACAGAATGACAGACTCGGAAGGGACCTTGGAGGTCATCTAGTCCAACCCCCTTCTCAGGCAGGAAACCTTATACCATTCCAGACAAGTGGCTATCCAGTCTGTTCTTAAAAACCTCCAGTGTTGGAGCATTCACCGCTTCTGGAGGCAGGTTGTTCCACTGGTTAATTGTTCTCACTGTCAGGAAGTTTCTCCTTAGTTCTAGGTTGCTTCTCTCCTTGATTAGTTTCCACCCGTTGCTTCTTGTCCTGCCTTCAGGCGCTTTGGAGAATAGCTTGACTCCCTCTTCTTTGGGGCAACCCCTGAGATACTGGAAGGCTGCTCTCATGTCCCCCCTCATCCTTCTCTTCATTAAGAGAAGGGAAGGGACCTTGGAGGTCATCTAGTCCAACCCCCTGCTCAGGCAGGAAACCCTATACCATTTCGGACAAATGGCTGTCCAGTCTCTTCTTAAAAACTTCCAGTGTTGGAGCATTCACCGCTTCTGGAGGCAGGTGGTTCCACTGGTTAATTGTTCTAACTGTCAGGAAGTTTCTCCTTAGTTCTAAGTTGCTTCTCTCTTGGGTTAGTTTCCATCCTTGATGTATGACCACAATTTCTAATTTTTAGTCATCATCGTCTTACGTCGAGTCCTCGTGTGACCAGACGCCAACTTTACAACTAATTTTCCCATAGGTCAATGCGGTCAGTAGGTCAAGTCCTGCGGTCGAAGGTTGAGTTGACCTGGGTTGTGAATGCGAATCCAGCTTGACCAATGGCATTTTTTTGGCCGCGTTTTGCCCAATTGCCCAACCCTCACCAATTGCGATTGGGTGACCTCAGGACGCTGAAACTGGTCGTCAATGGGATTTACCCCCGATTGCCATCACGTAGACTGGCGGGGGTAAGGCAGCGGTCACGAGTTCGAATTGAGCTCGTGATTGACTTTTTCAGGGCTTATCATTAATTCAAACCGTTGTTAAGGGAATGATTTTATGTTGGGGTCTCTTGATGAAACAGGGATTAGAATCGGAGGCGGTGAAGGCACTTTGGCGAAAGTATAATAATAATAATAATAATAATAATAATAATAATAATAATAATAATAATAATAATAATAATAATAATAATAATAATAATAATAATAATAATAATAATAATAATGTGTTTGTGTTTGTGTTGTTTTTAAAGACAACTAATGACCCCTCTCTTGACTAGCTCATTCAGGCTTAATGTGAATAATAATAATGATAAGGTTGGAAGGGACCTTGGAGGTCATCTAGTCCAACCCCCTGCTCAGGCAGGAAACCCTATACCATTTCGGACAAACGGCTGTCCAGTCTCTTCTTAAAAACCTCCATTGTTGGAGCATTCACCACTTCTGGAGGCAAGGAGTTCCACTGATGAATTAACAGAATGACAGAGTTGGAAGGGACCTTGGAGGTCATCTAATCCAACCCCCTGCTCAGGGAGGAAACCCTATACCATTTCAGACAAATGGCTGTCCAGTCTCTTCTTAAAAACCTCCAGTGTTGGAGCATTCACTGCTTCTGGAGGCAGGTTGTTAATAATAATAATAAAGTTGGAAGGGACCTTGGAGGTCATCTACTCCAACCCCCTGCTCAGGCAGGAAATCCTATACCATTTCGGACAAATGGCTGTCCAGTCTCTTCTTCAAAACTTCCAGTGTTGGAGCATTCACAGCTTCTGGAGGCAAGGAGTTCCACTGGTTAATTGTTCACCCTGTCAGGAAGTTTCTCCTTAGTTCCAGGTTTCTTCTCTCCTTGGTTAGTTAGCGTGTGGCGGTCGCCATCTTGACTTTTTTTGACCACACTGGGTGCAGCAGTGGGCTAATTTGGAAAGCACTCTGGGGAGACCCTCTGGGTTGGGTGGGTGGGCAGCATTTTGAGAGGCTGATGAAAGGAAAAGGTTTAACCTCCTTCCAGGACTGTTTTTTCTTCTGGGGTCAATTGTGAGGGGGGTGGGATTTAATTTCACATGTTTGATTGGAAGGCTAGGGAGATACATGCCTCCAGCCTCTTGAAAAAGCGCTTTTGCATTTGATGGTTAGCTTTTTTCTGCCTTGGGTGCCTTATTCATGAGGAGGAGGATGATGAGGATGATGAGGATGATGAGGATGATGATGATGATGAGGATGAGGATGAGGAGGAGGAGGAGGAGGAGGAGGAGGAGGAGGAGGAGGAGGAGGAGAGCAAAGAAATAAGGCCAGACACACAAAGAGCCACTCGGCTGAAGAAGATCCCGAGTTCCTTGAACTCTGCAGGTCTGTGTTGAAGCCGCTGCTTCTCTGCCTTGGAGGTTTAGGATGTGTGGGCTTCCACTCCCAGAATTCCCCAGCCAGCCTGCTTTAAGAGGGGTGGGCTTCCACTCCCAGAATCCCCCAGCCAGCCTGCTTTAAGAGGGGTGGGCTTCCACTCCCAGAATTCCCCAGCCAGCCTGCTTTAAGAGGGTGTGCTTCCACTCCCAGAATCCCCCAGCCAGCCTGCTTTAAGAGGGGGGGGACTTCCACTCCCAGAATCCCCCAGCCAGCCTGCTTTAAGAGGGGTGGGCTTCCACTCCCAGAATCCCCCAGCCAGCCTGCTTTAAGAGGGGGGGGACTTCCACTCCCAGAATCCCCCAGCCAGCCTGCTTTAAGAGGGGTGGACTTCCATTCCCAGAGTCCCCCAGCCAGCCTGCTTTAGGATTGGATGCCAGAGGATCACCCGGCATCCTTTGGTGCCCCAAAAGGGACCCCGATGTCCCCCTCTTTACCTCTTTCCAATCCAGTCCCTGCAGTGGGCCAGCCTCTCCCTCCTCCTCTCTCGGCTGGGGAAACCAAAACTTTGCACTTGCAGAAATTTTCCGGGGGAAAAAAATCCAAAAGCAATTTTTCCTTTCCTCCCTGCTGCCCCACCCCGCCCCCTCCCTGGCAGATTCCGGAAATTGCTGAGCCAGCCGCCCCTTTCCTAGCTCTCCAAGAGCAATGGGAGTCTGTCCAAGCAGCCAGGCACGGTTGTGGCACTGCAGAACATCAGAAGCAGTTAGTCAGCCCTCAAAGGGAGCAGAATAAGAAGAATAGAATAGAATAGAATAGAATAGAATAATGAATAGAATAGAATAGAATAGAATAGAATAGAATTAAAACAGGAATAGAATAGAATATGGAATGGAATAAGAATAGAATAGAATAGAATAGAATAGAATAGAA